TTCATAAAATGGCATCTTCCTGCTCTTCTGGTGATTTTTCTCATGTGTCTATTACATTTTCAAAGACAATTTAAGTACATATTTATGAACAATCCATTTTACTGTCTGCAGTATGCAGACGTTTACTTTTTAAATGTTTGTCAGAACACTGGTACACTTTCTACTATTTTTCTAACAACTTTCTAGCAACTTTCTAACGTGTTATAAAGCATGTATTTGATATAATGGAAAATAATTAGCTCCCTGACCATAGCAAGGTATAAGGCACATCAGAATAGCTCCGTTCCCCTTGGGATGTGATTATTGCATGACAGTTATCCCCATAGACTTGTTTCACTGGTGGTCTCTTTTGTTAATGCACAAAATGTATGTTGTTTGGCAGACAGGCAAAGCTAGCATATCAGATTGTTAAGTGGCATCTTTTGCTCAGCTGTATCATTCATGCAGATTAATATACCTCTTTTTAACTGGTTAAATCAAGACTTCTGAGCTGTTTTAAAACTGAATGCAATATATTGAATGTTTATTCAGAGGAGCAGGCAGGTTTTCAGCTACCTGAAGACAGGTAGGCACATGCAGGTATACATATTTGTTAAATATTCATGTTGTATTCTGTTACTTGTACACTTTTTTTGCTGAAATTAGAGCCAACCAAAGTTACTGGCATGAGATTTCTGTAGACTCAAGTCCTCTCTATAACCCCAGCTTGAGTACAGCATAAGAACAAGAGTAAATGCTTACTTGGGCTGCTGCACCAACGTGCCTCAAATCTGTTCTGGAGAGGCTGCTCCTAGAGAGAAGCTAGGTGCTACAGGCTTGCATATATATTCCTTTGCTTCAAGGGTGCCTATTAGTAATGACTATAACATTTTTATTAATAGTAGTTGTAGGCAAATAGAATAACTGGCTGAGTACCATGTTAAGGGGGCAGATATTTCAGAAAGTGTTTGATTCTTATGCACCTAAAAACAGCGTTGGAGATGAAGATTTACAAGTCTCATGGGAGTGTTTCAGACAAATGGTGTCTGAATTGGGAATCTCACATCTAAATTTAGCAGATGCTGATAATAGCCTCCAGTTGAAAGGATGTCAGTGGGTGCATGTATGCTGTGGGAGCACGGCTGCCTAGCTATAAGCCAGCTCACCTCCTTTTCCTACAGAGCAGAGCAGAGCAGAGCAGAGCAGAAAAGAGCAGAGACCAAGGGCACCCAGTGATATTTAACTATTTACAGGTTTAATGATACAACATAATAAAAAACTTATAACCATGAATTTACATACATCTATCTATCTATACAAATGTTATTTACAGATAGAGGTTTACACAGGCAATAGCTCTTTTTAACCCTGAACTCAGGCACATGACTAATCCTCTGTGGCCTTATGATTAGTTTGCAGCCCCTGCCCCCTCAACAGGGCCCTTCAGGCAGCAGACAAAGTGGCACTCAATGATAAAACACAGGTTAATCAACAAATCAATGACAGGAAGATCTAGCAGTGATGGGGCAATAACTGAACATACACAATAAGGTTACATTAAATGAGATACACATATATACATATACAGATAACCCATACAGTGAGTTCAGATATAGAACAGCTTACAATCTTTCCCTAATATAACAATAAGGACCCAGGGTTACAACAAGAATCCCAACAACATAAGGAACCAAACCACAGCAATGGCACAGCAGCTGTGCCCAAAGAAGAAATGGCACCCAGGGAAGGATCCTGTTACCTAAAAGAACATCATTACCCTCTCCTATGTCACTGAACTAGGAAGGGCCCATAACCATGAAAACCACCCTTAACAAACAGGGCCCCTAGACTCCTCTCTAAGCCCAAAGGTGAATTGTCCTCTCTCCTCAGGGCTTCTTATTGATCACCTAAAGTGGGGAAGGTCTCTACTCCCTGTGGGAATCTCTTCCCAGGTAACTCTCGACTCCCAGCAGCTTTTGGAGGGTTGGGCTTGTCTCTATCTGTGGGTTGGAGGTGGGTTGTCCTCCCTCACTGGGGTGCTTGACCCATCCGGTCACCACTCACAGCAGGAAGGCCCTAGCTGCCTCATGCAGCCATGAGGTCTGTCACCCCTCTCTCAGCCCCGTGCACTGCCCTGTGCACCAAAGGGGCACGTGCCTCATGCAGGGACAGGGACCCGCACTTCCTCATGCAGCCTTCAGCATCCTGTCAGCTCCTGTCAGCTCTCAGCCCTGTGCACCACCCTGTGCTCTGAAGGGGCACCTGCCTAGGACAGGAATGGGAACCCATGCCACTTTGTACAGTCGCAGCATCCCGTCAGCAATATGGCCCTGTGCATCAATCCATGCACCGATGGCCTGGCTCCTGCCTCATGCAGGGTAGGGTATCCACACTGCCTCATGCAGCCTCTGTGGTCCTTGTCTGCTCTACCAGCCCTGTTCACCAGTTTGTGCACCATGGGACCTCTGCCGCTCACAGAATCGGGGACCTGAGCTGCCTCGTGCAGTCCTGGAGTCCCATCAGATCCTGTACACCAATCCGGGCACTGAGGGCTTGTGCAGAGTTGGGGTCCCATGCTGCCTTGTGCAGCCACAGCAGTCCCTTTGGCTCCGCAAGCCCTGTGCAGCAATTCATGCACCGAGAGCTCCTGCTTCGTGCAGGGTTTGGGACTCATGCTGCCTTGTGCAATTGCTGAGGTCCCATCCACTCCTGAGCCCTCCTTGCACCGATCTGTGCACTGACACTGCAGCTCTCTGCACGGCGGGGCTGGGACACAATGGCTTGCTGCTCCCCATTCGGCAGAGGCATCTTCTGGGCGCTTCTGGGGCAATTGCTCTGCCCCATTGGTCCGCTCTACCAACTCTTCTCAAGCCCTATCTTTGTTGTCCCTTGCCAAAAGCTGCTCATGTGCTTGGCATGCAGGCTTTTATTCCCTCTGGAGGCCCCACCCCAGATTGGGAATGGACCAATGAGGAAGCCTGAGGGATTAGTTCCCTCTCAGGTCCTCTCTGCACTTCACCACTGGGTCAGACTGGGGCTGCCTTCCTTCTGCCTTCCCCTGATTGGTGAGGAAGGAAAAATTACCTCTACCAATGGAACCTGAGCCCTTCGGACTTAAGCTAACAACTGGACAGCCTGCCACACACATCATGAACCAAAGAAATATTGGATAGAGATGCTGATGCTGATGTCCCAGCCATGCAGCAGGCAGTTCCCCAGGGGGAGGGTGCAGTGTCCCAGCCCTGGCCAGGAAACAGCTGTCTCCTGGCCCAGTGCTCCCTGCCAGTCCCTGGGCTAGCACCTATGGGGAACCTAGAGCTCCCCCTGGTGGCAGGTAGCAGGGGCTCATTGCAGGGACCCAGGACACAGAAGCAGATTTGCTGCTATTAGCAGATTTGCTGCAAATCTGCTCCCACATCTCTGCATGTGTAAATGCCTGCCCGGGAGCGTTTACTTGCAAATGGTTTACTCTGAAGTAAACTGGTCCTGGATCAAATGCATGTGTAGACACACCCTGCCAGATGTAATTTTACAGCATCTTGCATGGAACCCCTGCAATGGGAGCAGACAACATTAATAGGTTTATCTTTTTGCTTAACATTTGTGGAAAACACCAGTGTGGTTCCAACTCCTGGAGAAATTGGATGAACACAAGCACCTGCAGAGAGACACACACACACACACACACACACACACACACACACACACACACACACACACACGTTTTAGACATGGATGTCTGAGTAAATGATCAGCTCATGGGAAATGATTGGTGTCTGGGATTCTTAAAATAGAAATGAACATCAGCAATAGGGAGTGAGCTGCCATTGTGAGGACTGATTTACACATATGATTTGACATGCTACCAGTGAAAAATGTATACACCATTATTTTGTCTTTTTATTTAAAATAAATGTTTAGATTTGAATGCAAAATAACATAAAATCAATATTTAGCATAAGCCAAACAATTGAAAATAAGAAAAAATAAAGATTTAAAAGATACCATCACAACCTGGCATCCTGTGGGGTCCACTGCTACAGGACCTCCACCCCTGGATTTCCATTGAGTCATTGAGACTTCTGGGATCAGGTCATGAGAAGGATCACTGCATCAGCTTACAATGGGGTAAACACTGGTGAGCTGCACTGTCATAGGTTATACCTAGTTCAATCAACATTTTGTATTTGTGTCCTGCTACATCTGGTGTTTGTGTTAGTTATTTGAACTGGAAGATGTTTGTGTGGTTTAGAACTAAAATTTCGGCCCCAAACCCCTGGCATTGTTAAACAAGGACTGGTATTATGTGGATGTTTTGATTTTTACCTCACTACAGATTTAAAAATATAAACCAAACACAAAAGAAGTATTGTGAAATAGCCAGCTGGCTGTTCCTGGATTATTCCTGTAGGCTTGTCACTACCCTTTTCCCCTTTAAAATGAACTATGCTAACACTATTTGCTCTGTGCAATCAATTATATGGCCAGCGGGTGAAAGGGAGGCAAAGGAAAGCCAAAACCTGAAAGGCATGAACATACTGTTTGCCACATCCTGGAACTCCATGAAAACCATGGTATGCCCCATCCACAAAAATGTGCCTCAGGTACCAAAATCTTACTTCCCTCACCAACCAGAGTTCACGCCCAGTGTAAATGGGAGCCTGTAATGGAAACAGTAACTTGTTTGTATTAGACATGGTCTGAGTTTCCAAGATAGAACATGAACTTCCCTAAAGTTCAAGAGTACTCAGGCCTAATGATGGTTTGCATCCTCTAAACAGCACTGAAAAATGCAGGTTTGGTTTTCAGTGCAGAACTTGAATAGATTTTATGGATGAATCTACTGAATTTCTGTGGGACTAGAGTATCAAACTCAGTCTGACTCAATTGAAAATGAGCTCACCAACATGAGTAAGGATGGCACAGTCTAACCTATGAACCCAAGCTGTTTTGTAAGATCAGTAAAAGTTTACCCTTTGAACTTATTTCTGTTCTCCCCCACACCTCCTTCTATATTCCAGAAAGACGATCCAGATGACTGCCCTATTGAACTCAGCAAGGTACAGAGTGTAAAGGTGGTGGCCAAAAAGCGCAGGGATCGCAGCCTTCCTCGAGCCTTTGAAATCTTCACTGACAATAAAACGTATGTTTTCAAGGCCAAAGATGAGAAAAATGCTGAAGAGTGGCTTCAGTGCATCAATGTAGCTGTCGCACAAGCTAAAGAAAGGGAAAGCAGAGAAGCAACGACTTATCTGTAAGACTGTTGGTGTATCTAATGCTGAACTTTCATGCCGGCATTTGAAAAGCAAAAATTCTTCATCCTAGTTTCATAGATTAAGGGTTGGAAGGGACCTAGTAGATCTTCTAGCCCGACCCCCCGCCAGGGCGGGAGAACAACAAAACCCCAAAACAAAAAACGGGACTCAAATGAGTCCAGCCAGGTAGGCATCCAGCCTCTTCTTAAAGACCCCCAGGGTAGGGGCCAGCACCACTTCCCTTGGAAGTTGGTTCCAGCTCCTAGCCGCCCTAACTGTGAAGTAGTTTTTGCGGATGTCCAATCTATACCTCCTCTCCATCAACTTGTGCCCATTACTCCTTGTTATGCCAGCGGGCGCTAGGGGAAACAGCGTCTCCCCCAAACCCTTCTGGTCCCCCCTAGTGAGTTTATAGACGGTCACCAGGTCCCCCCTCAGCCTTCTCTTGTGGAGGCTGAATAGGTTCAGGTCCCGCAGTCTCTCACTGTAGGGTCTGCCCTGTTGTCCCCGGATCATGCGGGTGGCCCTCCTCTGGACCCTCTCCATGTTGTCCACATCCCTCTTGAAATGGGGTGCACAGAACTGGACACAATACTCCAGCTGTGGCCTGACCAGCAGTTTAATACAGAACTGAACAAAGTGTTAAGAACAAACCTAGGTCCCAGTTCTGCAGCCCTTACTCATCGGAGTAGTCTCTGGTATCGGTGGTGTTGATGGTTCTGGGAGCACTTACTGCAAAGGCTGCAGAATTGGGCCCCTGTGCAATTACTGTTGGCAACAGATGGCTCAGAGCAACCCATGAGAATCCAAATCCTGAGAAGTGAACATCTTTCCAAAGGCAAGTGATATCAGCTGGCAAGAAAGGTTCCTCTGGACATGGATGGAAATGATATAACTACTTGCACATTTGTTAGCATATGAAGAACTACACACACACACACACACACACACACACAGGAATGCAGAAGTAGCTGGGTAACATCTTTCCTCATGTGCACATTTACATTTTTTCTCCCTCTGTTTCAAATGCAGCCAATTTAGAATATTAACCTCTGCTCAAAGTAAAGCAGTTATGTAATAAAATGTAGTGTTCAAAGCTCTTTCTGACTTTATCTTTTCAAAGTGATCCAACACAGACTAAAATATCCATGTGCATATAGTGCTATTGTTAGTGTATTTCATTTTATCCTTTTGTCAAAATGGATAAACAACTTTCAAATCTATTCCAGACAATAACATTTGCAAACTATCCACTATTTTTATGTGCTGTCATTTGTATGATCAAAAACCAACCACGGCTACATTTTGCTGCCTTTTCTCTCTCTTTCTTCATTTTTAAAATCTCTACATGTAAAATAATGTATTTTTTTCTTGCTGCACTATCCACCTCTATGAAAGTTAACTGTCTCTTTTATTATTTGAGTCTGTCAAAAAATGTCAAGGTCAAAGCCGTTCCCTTGTTTGCAGGATCTGAAAGTGGAACAATTTAAAGGTTGTTTTTAAAATTCCTTCCCTAAATATTTTTTAAATGTTTGAAATTAAAAAAAAAAATTCTCTTCCCCTACATTTTTCCCATATTGCCACTCAATGCAATCAAGTGATGGATGTTTCTCCATTTAAAAAACATTATTTTTCTTTCTTCACTTTTCAAAACTTCTCCAAATTTGGAAAGTTTACAGAATTGCATTTTTCCTTTTACCACCCTAGAATTTTTTCCCAAGGTTGGAGGAGGGTAGAAATGATTCAGAACAACAAAAGGAAAAAGGAAAAATAGCCAAGTAAAATGTGTTTGACAAAGGTCATGCATTCTGTTGTTTTCAGTGGGGAAAAAGAGTATGGAGGAGTGTAAAGAAATTAACTTTCAATTGTGACTAACAGCTAGAAAGTCATGAATGATTTTTTCCATATACATTTCTTTCATAAAAGTTTTAATTTCCGAAAAGAACATTTGTCTCAAGAAAATATATTAATCTGACAAATTTGAATTGTTATTTTTCTCCAAGATGGAGGTATAAAGTGTCCATAGTAAAGATTTTAACGTTTTCCTGCTAATACGTGTACTTAACCAAACTAGAAAGTAAATAATGTGAAAAATAAATTTAGATTGAAATACACTGAGCAATATTTACCCATGCTGCATTTTCATTAACAACAGTAGAGTTGCACAAGGTATGGCTTGCTGGGTTAATGTTACTTTCCAAAGGCACTGACATAGGGCAAACAGAAATATTTTCTTTGCAGTGGCTTCAGCAGGTGTTGGCAATGGATAGCCCAGATTCTTTCCACAATGTGCCATGGAGTGCGTCATCCCTAGGAAGTCCAACCAGACAGTGTTGTGAGAAGGGCGTGAGAGAAAGTTGTGCTAGATCAGCTTTATTTCACTTTATTTCACTTGCTCTGACTGTCACAGATGGTATCAGCTGTAAACTGGCACAGAGTATACCGTTCCATGCAAGGTAATAGCCTCTGACAAGGTAGGCTGTTGCTTACAACAGCTCATGTCTCTCTGGACCAGTTTTGTAAACTTATCTGCATCTGTTACCCCTGTGTATAATGCTTTTAAAAGAGACTCTGGTATGGGCAAAAGCTTGAAAATATTACATAAATCTGAATGTATAGCCTGATCTATTACAGAGATGCTGAGGACCCTCAGCTCTTGGCATAAGTAAGAGTGGCATAGGAGGTCAGAAGCTGTAAAAATCAAGCTCTGACTAGTTCAAACTGTTATTCTGTCTGGATTCAAGTCCTCTGACATCTTGGATGAAATGAGCTTTGGTAGCTGTTGGAGTGAGGTTAAAAGTCTGAGTTGGGAACACCAACTGCTTTATCTGTCTGCCTGAATTTTCTGTGCCGGCCAGAATGATTTTTTTCCCCATCCCATTATCATTGCAGCAATGAGTTCAAGGATAAGAAGGCAAAGTGTATCCAAGCAGAGGATATAATATATTCAGGAGGGATCTGACCCACAGAGTGTATTTTATTTTTCTTAACATGAACTTTGCTTTGCTTTTTTTTTTTTTTTTTTTTTTTTTTTTTTTTTTTTTTTTTTTTTTTTTTTTTTTTTTTTTTTTTTTTTTTTTTTTTTTTTTTTTTTTTTTTTTTTTTAATGCTAGTTTTCTGAATGTTGCTGCTATTGAGTGTGTTTAATCAGTTTCTGGGCCAGATTTTTAAAGTAGTCTCTATATGTGTCCTGCAAAATTTGCCTGCATTTACATATGCACAAATCTGCATATAAAAGCAAATATAACATACTTTTGTAGATGGGTGCCCACTCAAAAGCACAAGTTCCTATTTGTGCTTGCACATTTATGGAGCAATACATGGGGCTCCTCATTTATGATTTCCTTTTGCTATTAGCATGACTACCAAGCAGTCCATGCTGAGGTAGTAGATGTGAGGGGGCTGCGGGTGCTTGACCCCCTGGGCGACAGTGACCACTGCCTGCTAGAATTCACCATTCAGCGCAAGGTAGCAAAGGCAAGCAGTCAGGTGGTGGCCCTAGATTTTAGGAGGGCGAACTTCAACGAGCTAAGGAGGATAGTTGGAGAAGCGCTGAAGACTCAGAGGGGAGGGGAGCCGGGTGTCCAAGGGGAGTGGTCGCTCCTTAAGGAGACGATCCTCCAAGCCCAGAGGAAGGTAATCCCCAGGAGGGTCAAAGGGGGCAGGAGAGCATATAAGCCTCCATGGCTCACTAAAAACATCCGGGAATGTCTCCTTGCCAAAAAGGAGGCTTACTCCCAATGGAAAGGAGGGGTCATC